TTTACAAGCACCACTTGATCTGAAATAGAATCCTGGCCATAACTTCAGAACATCGATTGGGTTGAATTTCGTTGTTGACACAATACACGTTAATGATATTTATCAAAGGTCAAAGTAACCCTAAGTGATAAGTTATGATGATGCAAGTGCAAGGAATTAACCACTTCAAGTGATTTTTATGAAATGAACTTAAAATCATTACAAAATTTAAACGAAATGCTAGTTACAGTGTTTTACTTATTGCATGGAATAAATTTGTTCACAAAAATATATTTTCAAGATAAGGAAATGAAGTATAAGCAAGCTTCAATTTTATTTATGTGAATTTAAAAAAAAATAATATTGCATCAAAAAGTAATTTTAAATAAATGGCAGCAATTCCATAGTAATATCTATTTGAAATATGTTTATAAATTTGAAATTTAAATGATGCTTTTTGTAAATGTTACTGCGAGGTATTTTTTTCTTCTTTTCAGCTTGATAAAGTAGCTGCAGATAATAGTGAAGAACATGAAGATAATTTCTAGGTAAAAATGATCATATGTTTTCTATTAATTTTATTTCCAGAACAATAGTAAGATGTGGGTGTGCTATTAGGCCTTTTGAACACACGAAGTAAAGAAGGAAAGATAATCCGAGTTAATTAACATTTACTTTTATCCGTAGTTTGTAGAAAAGAGTTATCTTTCCTGCAGTACATGTAGAAACTGGCGAGATACGAATTCTTCCAGGTGAAATCAAATCAAATGGTTGGAAGTTGAAAACGACATTTAGCGCATTGATGAACGCGTTCCAATCGTAAGAACAACAGAACACTGTAAACTAAATTTATGCATCCTACGAGAAATAGTGCAGTAAAAAAAAAAAACAAACACAGTTTAATATGCAGTTTTGTCGATTATGTCATTTAATTAATTGAATGACATAAAGTAAAATGTATAACAAACAATATAGAGGATCACCTAATATTTTACAATACAGTATAAAAAAAAAACAGGTATATCCCCTTGAGACTGACTAGAAATTTACATGCAGTAAAAAAATAACAGATCAGATGTAAAAATGCTTAAATTATAACATGAGTAAATCCTTAGAGGGGTCCAAACAATTGCACAGCAAAAAAGGAATTGAAATGATTCCACAGTATCAAATAATCAATTTGTTACCAACCTGTAAAATCTTGCTTCCATTTAAACAAAGATTAGTTAATATAAACGCTATTTTTAGGTCCTTGTTCAGAAATTTTAGTTAAATAAATTTATGTACTTGTCTAGATGAGAATTGGTATGGATGGAGTCTACGTAGCATATATTGACATATCTCTTTTGCTGCAAATACCTTTTTTAAGTAAATGCCTATTGTCTAGCTTAAATCAAGAGAAATAACTTTTTCCTAAATCTTGACAGGTCCAAACAAGAATAAAATATCGGTCTTTGGTACATGTATGTAAAGATATTGGTCTATTTGAAACAGTTTCCCTTACGATAGAAAATGAGACATCAGAATGATTTTTATTGATGTAAAATATATTTGATATATAATTTATGTTTGAGTATGTTCTTTTCCATAATTAGTATTATATGTATATATGCCCCCTCTTTCCTAAAAATTCAAAATTAGACAAACTCACAGGTATGTTGAAAAAAGTTTATTGATCAAAATATAATAAAATTTTTATCAAATCAAATTATAAACTTGTACAAACTTTTTTAAAATAATTCCAGTATAACAAAATAGATTTCAAAATGTTGATATGCAAATTACAGTTTTCTTATACAAAAATGCATTAAACATTATAAAATTGTTAATACAGTTCCATTGTATCAAAATGTATCAAAATGGATGCTACAATGTAAATTTGCACATGAAGTTACAGTATCGCAAAGGAGGGATTTGTCAATGCATTGCAAGAGTAGAATAATACAAAAATTACAAGAAACGAAATATCTGCTTGATATCCACAAAATTGCATAACATAATGAATATCTATAAAGCATGTATCAAAAAGTATCAGATAAGTGTATATACACAAAAATCGACTAGTGGCAGCAGGTGGGGTAAAAAAGCCCCACTTAAAAATGACAATGACTAGAATCTAAAAAGAAAAACAAAACATGTAAAACTACAATGACTTAAGACAACAAAATATAAAATACAAGTAAACTGAAAATCAAAAATGTGAAAGGGAGGTGGGAGGAAAATTCAAAACAATACAGATTGTACTTCTTGATAAAATGATGCTACAAAGGAGACGCTATCTTTCAACCAATCAAAATGCGCATACGGAGATATCATGATTAAGGGGCTCTCCATGGGTAATATTTACATTAGGTCTCCTAAAGGTTCAGTATTTCATGAAATAAAACATATGAAAGACTTATCAGTACACTCGTCTGCATAAAATTATTTATACATATAAATTGCATTTAATTTCCATGAGAAGTGCCACAATTGCAACTTCTCGGGCCTTTCCGACTAGTGGAAAAACGACCGACGTTGTTTTTCCGAACTCTGACGGAAAGACCCGATATTGTGCGATTGGATCTGCTATTCAGTCACACTTCAATGCCTTTCAGTGACCATTCAGTCACCTGAATGATACAGATTCATAGGGCAAAAATAAAAATGCAATGTAGAATTTCTTTATAGAGACAGCTTTTTTCTTAAATCTAAAACAGAATTAGTTAATTGAATTGTCATGTCATTTTTATCTTCAGATTAGAAAACAAAAATAAGAATGAATCGTACTTACTGTACTGCAGTTCTGATGTCGGGATTCTTAGGCAGCCTGATATGAAATTACATTAGACTATCATTGGAACAAGCACACAACTGTTTACACTTCAATCCATAACTTGGATACGCACACTTTTTTGTACAGTTTTTGCCAGAGAAACCAGCCTCGCATTCTATAGAAACATTCATGAAAAGGTCATTTTTTGGCGTAAAGAACTTTCAAATCTTTGAAAACAAAAGCATTCATTTAAATCTATATTAAAAAAAATCTTTAAAAGAACATCTATTATGAATATCGATTTTTTATGGTCGACAACTGCAGTTTCCCCGGCTAATAAATTATTTTCTAGAACGATTTCTTTCGCGGTAAAATTCCTTACTATATTTCTACCTCGTATCATTATTAACAAAGAGACTTAATATTTATATTTTATTTTCAACCCGTATACTCAAATAAAGTGATATTGACATTCAGGACGGAATAGTTTAATTTTAAAGATGAATAGTAATATCGGTAGCATCAACAAGGTGCCATCTTTTTTTGTCTGATTTGTACTTTTGGATATGAATATATCTAAGTAATTCAACACTTAAGGTAGAACTAAACTGTACAAATAAAATTAAATTATCAACTCCAGAGGAGACTTGTAAATTGCCATGCATTTATGATATTGACATATCTTAATTTTATGCAGATTTGGTCAAAACGTTTGTAGATAGATGATAAAGAGGAATACAGTGACATAAAGTTCCCAAACAAACAGTTAGGGAAAGGAATCATAAATCTATGCCTGAAAATCTTTGTATTAAATTAATCCTAATAAAATCATATCTTAAAAAATATTTCTAACAGATATATTTTAAAAAACAGCGTATAGCACAAGAATAAGGAAGGGGTGATTTCCCAACTTCTTTTATATAATTATATATTGTTACAACCCGTTACCTGTGCACTTTTCTGTAATAATATTCCATTGATAATCAGGGCAGCATCCGTTTGGAAAACTGAAAGGTAATTCAAATCATGTTAATCTTTTCAGACGAATAATCCTATGCAGATGTGCATCATAAAATAATACCTGTGCATCAGAAAATAAAACTCGTCCACTTTTCCACATAGGCGTCTCCATATGAGTGAAAAATTCTCAAGAAGAACGTTAAACAACATATAATCAATCAGTTTATCAATATTTCCACATGAATGGAGTGGCCCACATGACACATTGGGAAAAGTCGCGGGTTTGAATGTCACTGTGGGAAGTGGAGACGGTTGCTTCTGATGAGACCGTATAAACTGAGGTCAATCTACTGTCGCAGTTGATGCTGTCATGAAAATGATCCCTCATTGCTCAATCTAATTAAAATTAGATGTTAGATCCGCTCGCATACTCTCTACACTAAGTATGCGAGCGGATCTAACATCTAATTTTAATTAGATTGCTCATTGATCAATTGTCTGATTGAATTTAAAAGAGAAGGAATCAAACACATGTGTGTTAAAACGGATCACTCTATATTTTCAGTGGACAAAAACATCATTCACTTTGAAAATAGTCAATGGATGGATAATTTAGAGTAGAATTGAAGATTGAACGTACGTATATGATAAAGTTCTGACCTTTTACATGTACAACTGGACTGGCTGTACACTACATAAATAAATCCAAGTTTTAAGGAATATATTAACACAAGTTTTAGAATTGATATTTTGGTTGTCATTTTTGCAATCTTTTTATATAAAGAAAACGGAAGAATATGACTATTACTATTACAAGGATTTCCTTCGTTTGGGGAATATAATTAATGAGGACCTTATAATATTAATATTTAAAGAGCAAAAATTTAGGGAACCCCGATCGGTTAATTGGCGACATAATTTGATAAACATAATGGATTCTATTGAATATAACACCAAGTGATGCATGGACACACCACAGTAAAGATGACATTGACACGTTGTCAGATTCATAAAATGCATGTATCAGATACATGTTTACACCTCGCATGAAGCGATTGAGGTGATAGATTATAATATCATCTATTCGAATAGGTGATATATAAGTAACAACATCTTCCTTATTTGTAAGGCTCATTAATTATTCATATTACATTTGTGATAGTATTGATTTTATATTGATTTTAATTTATTGTATTTTTCTTTCAAATGCCATTGAAAGTTATCAAATAACTTTCAATAATAAACTTGATTTAAAATAAATATGTCTTATTTAAACATTAAAAATGTAAATAAACTTGTAACAAATTACTCTAATTAAAGTCTAGAAATCTCTAGAGCCCTAAACTTTAAACTTAACTTTTAACCTTGAATAAATACATAAGTAAAAATAGCCATTGGTCAATATTTCCCGCCAAAACCTTTGACCCCCTTTGTCCAGTGTGTCTAGCTAATTACTAGCCCAGGAGCAGTCAAAGTGTATAGTTGTGTATTTGTATTTTTGGAGAAATCTTTAAGACCACTGACAGTAAGTTGACTTTTTGACATTCCTAGTTCATATTAATACTTTCCTATTAATTACTGAATGAAAGAGGCATATGAGAGATTTATTAAATTATTTAAGTTTGTCAAAAGCTGATAAACTAGTTGATTTTAAACTTTGTAATAAATGTATTTTATGACACGAAGAATATGATATATAGTGTATGGGTGTTATTTATAAATTGTAGATATTGATAATCCATATAAGCCATACACACAAATCATGTAAGAGAGGGATTCATACCCATAGTCTGGTATGTTGCTAAATGTACATAAAGCAAGTATATAATTGTAAATAGTCATTATATCCACTGTTATGAAGTGAATAAGAGAAATATCATTTGTATAAAGTCAAGAGGTACAACTCATTGATATGTGTCAATATTTAATATTTTATAATCTAATTAAATATATAGTAATTATTTGATTTTATGATGATAATAGATTCTGCTGTTATATGTGATATCAACTTGAGTAAATGTATTTTATATTATTTTGCAGAATCTGCTTTATGATGATGCATTTGGTATTTATGCAACTGTAATAAACATCATCACAGTGAAACATCTTGTTTTCAATTGCTGCTCCCGCTACAAAATTTGGCGCCCAACGTGGGGCACTGATGTTGATGGCACCACCTACAGGAGCCACCTCCAGCCCCTCATAGATGTTACAGTCAGTGGTGGATCCAAGCCTTCACTCTGCATTTGAACAGCTGTTGTGTTTTGCCACAGACAATCAACACCCAAGGTAACTCACCTGTGTCACACCTGACTGAGTTTTGTTCAGCAGAAACTGTACCTGTGTAAATACCTGTGTTACAAACAATCCGGAAAATTTTTTTCCATACGTCCAGATTTGTGCTAAAAGTTTCCGGAAATTTCCTTTCCGTCCATCCAGACTTTAACATTACCTGTGTAATTCCATATCCGGTTTGAGCCTGAACTTGTTTTCCACACGTTAGCCTTTCCAGATAACGCCATCTTTGCCAAGAACGATAACTCTAATCTATTGCAGAACTGTTCGGAGTCGGCCATGTTGACTTCATATGGCTCGGAGTAAGTAAGTATTTTTTGTTATAAATTATATAAAATAAGATAGGACTTTGACATAACAAAAATTGAGTAATGCTGGTAAGTTTTGAGTATATATCATCTTTTATACAGTGTTTTGTTCTTGGAAAATCGCGTAAAGCACGAATAATGGTATTTTATTATGTACACGGGCGTAATGAAAATATGAATAATTTTTTTTTTGGAGGATAATGATAGGGTACGCTACAAGTTTCACACATTTTCGTAAGCGGTAGACATACTGCTACAATATGTACGATTACTGAAATTTTGGAAGCTATGGCTTTCTCTTGCTGATTTTTTAAAGATTAATGCCTCAGTAATGTGACATGGAAAATTGATATTATAATGGCAACACGAGGGCACACTCATAGTTTCCTTCAATAATTAACTGATATATGTAAATTTAAGATATTAAAATACATATTTTCGAAAAATCAAGTTAGAGTTTAATTTATTCAATTACTTTTATGCCTCCCAATAGTTTCAACCATTCTAATAATTGAGTTACCTCCCTTTCATCATAGTCTTTTTCAATATATCATAGGAAAAAAAGTGATTTATATATCTTTTTCAGACAAATTTCACCAGTTATATTGGGATGCTTTATGAAGTGTAAATAAACTTTCCTGGATAATCAAGGTAAATAGAATTTCATAAAATGTCAATGCTTCCATACAATTATTTGCAACAATTACTAAACATTTTTTTCTTCCAGATTTCAGTGATTACCTAGCCAGAGACTGTGTGTAAATATTCTTTCGCTTGTTTGTTTATTCCTGTACATACCCCTTGTTGGAAAACTCAAGGGTAATTTCTTTACAATATTTAGAAGAACAATTATAAAGTTTGCCACATATAAAATGTAAGAATTTATTACAATTCTTTGAAATTATTAATGACAATTTTTTTTTTTAATATGATAAATAATTAAATATATATTATGAATTTTATTTTCAGATTCATATTTGGTTTTTCTTCATTGAGGATTTTTCCTAAAGACATTGAAAAAAAAAGAAAAGAAAAGAAAAAAAACAAAAAAAAAAAAGATTTATTCAGTTGAGCTTTTAAGGTATGTATTTATTAAATAATACAGAGGGATCACTTATTATGGCACTTGTCCATCTGTCAGTCTGAAATAAAAATAATACCAATGCAGGCGACACTATCAGTATGAATTATATGATATATGTGTGTGATGTGTGTCCATTGTCTAGTGTTTGTCTCGTTTTACTAACATGCAATATCATCATTTCTTTCAAAACAGCCAACATAGTATATGTGTATATAGGGTAAATATATTTGTTAAAACTAACTTATCATAACCAAAATGTCCCTAACCAACAAATTAGTGGTCGAAATATATGAAAGATGCAAAGGGAACATCAATTCAATTCACAGTGATATATGCAGAGTTCTGGGTAAAAGTCGAGAAGAAATTGACAAGAAATCACTTTATGTTAAAATCAAAAGAAATAAAGCAAAGATTCAACAGCTGAAAGGGAAAAAAAACTGTGAATGTGAACATTTTTTAAGAAGTACATTTAGTGTACCAGTGAAAGTGACATCTAGAGCTGAACCACCCTCACTGCCACCACCACAACCACCACCAGCACCAATAGACCAGAGCATTCAAATTATTCAGTTACAAAAGAAAGTGTTACTATTGAAAGACCAGCTAAAGAAAATTAAAAGTAGGAGATATGAACAAGCCATACAAAGGAAAGACCGAATTATAAAAAATCTGAGATCAAAATTACATGTTTCAAGAAAAATGAAAAAAGAAGAGAAGATAGACAGAAAAAAAGACAAAGAAGTATGTGTACCGGTAGATAAAATACTGAGAGACAAAAGTGTTCAGTGCAACTCTTTAAATGTTATTTTAAATGATTTACAAAAAGAACTTGATATTTTACGTTGTGAAAAAGAGGAAGAACAGGAAGGGTGTGACACAGTTAAAGTTTTAGATTTTAGGGAAAATACCAGAGGTAGACCATTTGATCATAGGATTAGGGAACTTATATATTTTTTTAGAACTCATAACATTGGTATCGAACATGTCGAACCAGTAGTTAATGCTGTTTTATCTTTAGTGAATTTTAAAGTAAAAGAACTGCCATCTAAGAGTACTAATGCAATTTTTAGCAATGAAATGGGTATTTTATGTAAAAAACAGTTAAAAGAAAATTTTTTAAATACAGAAAATTTAACTATGCATAGAGATGCTACCACAAAAAAAGGAAGACATTTTTATGGTTTGAAAATAGCCACAAATAATAATATTTTTACTGCTGGTTTAAAAGAAGTAAGTGACGGCAAGGCTGACACTTACGTCCAAACTACTTTAAATATTTTAAATGAAATAACTGATGGTCAGTCTTGTGACATTTTAAATAAGATTTCCAGTTTTATGACAGACCGTAGTGTTACGGAAGAGAAAGTTAACAGTATTTTAATGAAAAAATGCAGGGATGATTTTAATTGTGACAAGGACTTTTATTCTTTTAAATGCTCTGTACATGCTCTTTTACAGTTTTCGGATCAGTGTTTGAAAGAAGTTTTAAATTTTGAAAAAGATGTAAATGTTTCTTTTAACAATGTATCTTGTAGAAGTAAGGAATCTTACACCTTTTATCTCATTTCATGTGTATCCAAACTTTTTTTTAAAGATGGAACAGGTGATCCCTTTTTAACAGCAACCTATGTAAAAGAACAAGGTTTTGACAAAGTACCTGTGGTGAAAGTCAAAGGGAATAGATTTAATGTTTTGTTTTATAATGCTGTAGGAATTTTTTGTATGAGAAAGCATATTTTACAGTATTTGTTATCCACAAAAAGTTCTTTGAATTCTTGTACTGATTTTATCGTGTGTGGCTTACAAAACAATCATATTTTATGTATTTTAAGAGCACTTGGTATTATATGCAATTCATTTTCTGAACCTTATTGGTCCAAGGCGGAAGAGCTACCCACTGCTTTGTCTATGGGTAGCGTGTACAGAAGAGTTGTTCAATTTTTAGATCTGTGTATACAAGAACCTTTTTTACTTTTATCAAGAAAAATTTCTCTGTTTTATGGTCCTTTTCTTCCAACTGATGAATTTGAGGAGGTTTTATATGATGATTTTTACAATGATGTAACATGTTCGATATTGAAAAAGTTTTGTGTATCTTTAAAAACCAAGTCATTGTCACTGTTTAGTCCTTTTATTGAAGAAACTGGAAAATATTTTAATCCATCTGAAGATGTTGTAAATAAATGTAATAGTTGTGGCACAAATAATATTACTGTAGAAAGACTAATGGGCAGGTTGGACAAGAAAATGATGGATACGCCAACGTCTAGTGTTTTTAGTGTAGAAAACCTTATTTTATTTAGTGAAAATAAGACAAGTGAGTGGTTAAAAGAAAAGACAGTGTCAGAGAAGAAAGAGCTTTTAGGAAATATTAGGAAGGAAGGGAGGGAAGTTTTGTGTAAGAATAAGTTGGAAAAGAAATTGTTATTTCAAAATCATCTGAAAATTATCAGAGAAAGACAAGAAAATGTAAAAGCAATGAAAGAAAGAAAAGAGGAAAAATTGACAAAAGCAGTAGATTCGATATCAGACAATGGATTATGGGACACGGAAAGCAAGGTTGACAGCAGTTTACAACATATAAAGAAGAAAAACGATAAAATTACAGCGGTGAAGAAGCAGTTGAACTTATACAAAACAATATTTCCTCTAGAAAAACAACATAAAGGATTGACAAAATTTTCGGAAAAAGGAAAACTTTTTACGATTGAAAAATTAATTGAAAACTTGAAAACCATCATAAAGCTAAAAAGGGAAAGGACCCAACGGGAAGTGATTCCATCTACACTAGTTAGGAAAAAAATCATTCATACCTGGACAAACGATGAATATGAAAATGTAGAATGGAATGGTGAAATTGTTGGTTATGACAATGGAATATTCAAAGTAATTTATGATTACTTCAGTATTAAGCATTTTAATATGAAGTTCACACTAAACTCTTTTTAAAGTGGTATAGTGTGTTTGCATGTAAGTAAATCACACAATGAAAATTTTGTAAATCACTGACAGTGTTTTCCCTTTATTTTAAAGTAATGGGTTAAAGATGAGTTGTTACAGGCTAAGGCTATGTTAACCTTACAACAAAGTTTGATTTGCAGGCAGCATTTTTATCAGTAAAAGCGGTCAATTTGGCTGACTGCTGGTTCTTAGGGAAAACACTGCACTGTAACAATTTCACATCCCCAAACCTTTATGATATGTATTGAGTTCATAAATGATAGTTTTGTTTACTGTGTCAAGTTATTTAAGTTTTTCTTCATGAATTATTTATATTTCTAAGACAATATTCAATTTAATTCAATCAAAAAAGGAAAAAGAAGAATGCATATCTTAAATGTAATTTTTCATTTGACTTGACTTTGTAAACATTACAAGACCTTGAGTGAATGAATTTTAGTATACCTGATTTACTGATTACTAGGGCCATATTTTAAAAATATATATATATTTAATTGATGAAAATGTAAAGTTTTAAGTCAGTAAGCCTGTAGAGGGCAAATAGCAAATATATTTTTTTAATATATGGCATAGTATTAAATAATTTTCTTCCTATCACCTACATTATTTTCTCTAAAATACTTTTAACTTATTGAATGTGTTTTTAAAAAAGGGTATGGACTATGGAGTGATAAACAGTACTTAAACATTTGGTACACTTTATTTGAGAAGTAAATAAAAAAATCATTTTGTGTATAGAATTTTGAATTGAAAATAAGTAACACGTTTTTATTCTTGTATTGTTTCAAACTCCACATAGGTAAAATTTCTTCTTATTTCAAACTATTCCTTTCAAAACCCATCACAATTTGTTACAATGAAGTATAACATTCCAGTGGTGTGAGGTGGTTAAAATTTTAGCAATATAGTATACTTTAAATATTTAAGAAATTAAAGCATTTTATCTTAAAGTCAATTATATATGTATGTCTTGTATTTGTAATGTCTTACTTTGTGTTACATGTCTGTGTCTTTAAGTAAAGTAGATTTTAATATATTTTGCCTCATTATGAACATAACTGACTTATTCAAATATATTACAACAGGTGCAGTATTGGCTGGATGGTTGTGAGAAGGACGATGATGTTTATGAATTAACAGAACAGGAATTTTATACAGATTTGAAGGACGGAAATTTGTTTATCCTTAGTAAGTGCATTTTACATTTCCTATTTGAATACACTGCTTTTTGGGGGGATGTAATTAATTACTGGGATTAAAATTGTCCTAATATTTCATTATAACTATGTAACCTAAGAATATTTAGTCATTAAAATGAGTATTTATTTAATTTTCAGACAGTACACAGTTGGATCATTGCTACACAAATTCTTGAAAAAGACTATAAGGTTTATTGATTTTTTAGAGTTATCTTTCATAAAAATGAATTATCTTTCTTTGAAATTACAGTCTTATATTTGTAATTGGATTACCTCCCTCTTTGAACAACTGTTTCATTAAAAGAATAAAATGTAGTTTTCAATTATTTATAATTTCTTCTTTCTCACTCTGAATATATCAAAATTCAATGCAGTCTTAAGTTATATTAGTAGAAAGATATTTGAAAATGTTCAATATTGTTTTTTTTTTCAGGTTTTACAATTTTATGTGGAAAGGCTACCACACGTGGACTTGTGAATTTTCAAGACTTCTAGACTGATAACAGCGTAAATTATTTGATAATTTTCTTATTTCTTATTTGAATATTGCTTGTGTAATGTAAGTCATGTAATTTATTTGTATTTTTGACTTTATTGAGTACTTCAGTGTTTCAAATACTGTTTGTTTACATTCACAGTTTGTTGATCAGTTGTTTCACTTTCAGTGTTTGCTGTAGTGATACATTTTGAAATTTTTCTTTATTCATAAACCTTGAGGTAAATTTGAGTATATAGGCCTACAACTGCAACTACAATGTTTTGATTTTCCTATTCTGGTACCAAACTTGTTGCTGAAATTTATATTTTGAATTTTCAGTTTATGTTTTGAATTTTCAGAGGTAAATTGACACATTTTGAGTTGTTTACAAAATGTAATTCATAATTATAACAGCTTTGACAGTAAAAAAAAATTGAAAAAAGTTCTGGTGTGGATGGAGTGAAACATTTCTTTATTTACAGGATCTGCTTAATACTTATTCCCTTTCCTGTTGTTTACATTCTGACATTTTACAACTGACCCATTCAGTGAATGTGACATTTTAGAGTAATTTAGACAAATCAGAGTTAGTTTGTTTGTGGTAAGTTGGTAAGTGGTTGTTAGGATACATTGTCCATTGTCCTTTGCCCTTAGCCCTTCACCCTAAACTTAGATAACCATGCCTTAAATAGGTAAATTTAAAATTTGAAAATAAATACTGAGAGTAAATAGGCATAATATAAAGTGTGAGAATTAAACTATAAGGTATTATTTAATCAAGGGTACAAATTACAAAGTTTAGATAAATAGAATTTTTATTTTCAGGAATTACATCGTGCGTTTTCTTTGAATTATTTTCGTGCGTTTTCTTTCATACGTAATCGAGCGGTTTCTTTATACATTTCAAACATTTGTTGTATTTTTTTTGCATTGCTTTGCAGCAGCGTGCGTTATAGCATTTATGCATTGCATTTATTGCGCAGCGTGCTTGAGCTTGCTTGCTTGAATTATTTTTTGCAGCCAGTGTTGTTTACACAACATTATCATTTGCTTGCATAAAATCATCTGGTGAAACATATTGAATTCTTACAATGTCAGACAAAAAGACAGGTGATGAAGTTCTTGAACTTCAAGAAATTGTGGAAGAAGATATTCAAGAAAATGTTGAAGAAAATGTTCCACAGACCACAGCTGGTGAATTGTCCACAGCAGAAAAAGAGAAAATCATTAAGTATCTTCAAGATCATGAGTACTAAGTCTTTACAAATGAAGCTTTTAACACTTTTGTTGAACAGCATAAGACTGTGAAGAAAGAGATACCCAGTCCGTCTCCTTTCTATTTACCAACATTTACGGCACCCATTACTCCAACAAGTTATAAGGACCTTAAACCACCATCATTTCAATCTTCAATGGCGACTCACATTCCAAAGTTATCGACATTTTCAGGAGATCCAGGCAGATCAAGTGATGTGCCATACGAAGTGTGGAAGTATGAGGTAGAATGTCTTTCACGTGAAGGATATCCTGAGAGTGCGGTCCTTCAGGCTATTAGAAGGTCATTAAGAGGTCAAGCGAGTCAAATACCAATGAGATTAGGTCCGGATGCGACACTAAGTCAAGTTTTGGAGAAAATGGAGAGCATCCATGGAACTGTAGAGAAAGGTGAATCTTTGTTGACACAATTTTACAGTTCGACTCAGAAACCAGAAGAAAACACCACAACATGGGGATGTCGTCTTGAGGATCTTTTGAGTAGAGCGGTCGACAAAGGAAAAGTTCACCATCAAGATGTTGATGACATGTTGAAGACCAAATTCTGGTCCGGATTACGGCAGGACTTCAAAGACATATCAGGTTATCTTTATGATAAATGTTTAACATTTGATGAACTTAGAAAGGAAATCAGACTTATTGAGAAAGAACACCCTACAGACAAAAAGAAACCAAACATGAATATCACAGCGAAATCACCCGACTCAACATCTTCCAGCGAAATATCAGAATTAAAAGCAATGATTAGGAAATTATCAACAAAGGTCGACGCATTAGAAAATAAGAAAGTTCCACAAGAGGATACCCATCAATTCTATCAAAAAAGAACTGATCAGCCACCATCAACCTGGTTCAGCAGAGGAAGATCAATAGTCAGATCATCTTATCCAAACAGAATAGGTATGAGAGGAATGGGTAGACAATCATCTTATCATGATGAGCCTATATGCAGAAGGTGTGGACAATCAGGACATTTAGCCTTTGGATGTCGAGTGAATCTACAAAGAACTGATTTAAACAACGGCAGGCCGGTGTTAGAGGACAAACACTAGGCCTAAACCATTTCAGTCGCCCTATAAACAAGACATTAGTACTAATAGGAGAAGCAACAGAAGTGAACATCAATGTAGAGGAAATTGAATGTAAAGCGTTACTAGATACTGGTTCTACCGTATCTACAGTATGCGACTCTTTCTATAGAAACAATTTAAGTCACCTAGAATTACATCCAGTCACAAATATTCTTAATGTGGAGTGCGCAGATGGTAAATGTTGACCTTATTCAGGATACATAGAAGTGAGCATTACTTCCCTTGGCATACCTTCGCTTGAACAGCCATGCCCATGCCTACTTTTAGTCGTCCCAGAGAATAACTACAATCAAGAAGTTCCTATTCTTCTCGGTACAAATATTTTGCAGCATGTACTTAATGATTTGCAGGAAACATTTGGTAGTAGGTGCTTGCAAGAAACAGACTTACATTTACCATGGTACCTGACTTTAAGATCATTGCTACTCCGAGAAAAGGAATTACAGAGGAACAGTAACAGACTCGGAGTTGTGAAATCGGTACACAAGAACAGTGTCACTATTAAACCAAATTCTTCAGTCACGTTACAAGGTTATGTTGACAAAGCAGTACCTTATCATGCAACTTGTGCACTTTTACAAGCAACACCAAGGTCTAGAATTCCTGTGGACTTAGACATAGTACCATCTGTAGTTAACTACCAATAGCCATGTGACAGACTGATTCCTGTACAAATTGACAATGTTACAACAAGGACAGTCACCATATCTCCAAAGGCCATATTGTGTGAATTACATCCCGTCAACATAGAAGAAATCACACAATCTAAGGGAGACAACTCTAATGACAACTTGAAGTTACGTCACATAGATGACAGCTCAACAACATCAGAGAGACAAGTCCTGACTGATCTTCTCCAGAAGTATCAAGATGTATTTTCATCATCAGACACAGACATCGGACATACCACGCTAGTCCAACATAAAATAGAACTAATTGACGAAACACCTTTCAAACAGAAATCCAGAAAAATTCCACCAAATATGTACATGGAAGTCAAAAACCATCTTCAAGGTCTGATTGATGCAGGACTTATTAGGAAATCAAAATCACCTTGGTCGAGTAATGTCGTACTGTGTAGAAAGAAAGATAAGACTCTAAGAATGTGCATTGACTACAGGGAACTAAATAACAGAACTAAAAAGGATTCTTATGCCTTACCAAGAACTGATGAAATCTTAGAAGCTCTCTCTAATAATAAGTTCTTTACAATCCTAGATATGAAGAGTGGCTATCACCAGATAGAGGTCTTTGAGAAACACAAGGAGCGGACAGAGTTCACCGTTGGTCCCCTTGGCTTTTACGAGTTTAACCGGATGCCATTTGGTCTATGCAATGCTCCGGCAACTTACCAAAGACTCATGGAGGAAGCATTTGACGGATTACATCTCAAGATTTGCTACATCTATCTGGATGACATCATTATTTTTTCCAACACGTTTGAAGAGCATCTTGAAAGACTACAGCAGATATTTCAGAGGTTAAGACAGATCAACTTGAAATTATCTCCTAAGAAATGTGAATTCTGCAAGAAAAAAGTCAAGTACCCGGTATGTAGGACATATCGTCTCAGAAAATGGAATTGAACCTGACCCAGAAAAGATCCAGAAAGTTAAAGACTGGCCAACACCTATCAATCCAGATCAAGTTCGACAATTTTTAGGCTTTGTTCGGTATTATACGACATTTATCAAAGATTTTTCAAAGATAGCTAAACCTCTCACCAATTTGATTCCAGATACCTCAAAGAAGATCAGGAGAAATTCCAAAGCTGCAAATACATCACCACCAAACTGGCACTGGGAACAAGAACAAGACATTTCCTTTCAGAAATTAAAAAATTGTTTAATTCACTTTCCAATTTTAGGTTTTCCCATATATGGTCAACCATTTGAGATCCACACAGATGCATCTCAGAAAGGATTAGGAGCCGTCTTATACCAGCTGCAGAACGGACAGAAACGTGTCATTGCTTACGCAAGCAGAGGTCTTTCCAAATCTGAAAAAAATTATCCTATCCATAAACTTGAATTATTAGCTCTTAAATGGTCAATTTCAGAAAAATTTTCAGATTACTTGTATGGAACAACTTTTGATGTAATAACTGACAACAACCCATTGACATACGTCTTATCTACTGCAAAGTTGGATGCTACTTCTCAACGAAGGATTGCATCTTTAGCCACCTATGACTTTAATATTTTTTACCGCCCTGGTAAAAACAACGCAGATGCAGATGGACTTTCACGATTGAATGAAATTTCAGATGTTCGTGACAGAGAACAGATTTCTGTTGAAACAATTAAAAGTATTTGTAATGTTCATCATGCCAATATTCCATTTATTGAATGTTTGTCTATTTCACCAGATATTACTGATAACTTAATTCATTCAGATCTTTCAAAATTTTCAGATTTCAACATCAAAAGAGAACAGTGTAAAGACCAAGATATTCGTTTTTGGTTTTCTCA